TGTGTATTAATATGTATATGTTTGTATATTTATTTATATATATATATATATATAATGGCAAGGGTATCTACCTGCTGTTGGTACCCACTTTGTGCGCTTCTTGGGCTGAACGAACTCGCCATTGGCACAAAAAAGCTAATAGATGGCTACGATAAGAAATATAGATATAGGTGCTCATATGTAGTACATACATTGCAAAAAATAATGAAGTTCGGTGCAACATAAATAAAATGGAAATTCAGTCGCCAAACTGTATTTTGACCAAATATGTAGTTTTTTGTTTTTTTTTAAACGGAACACAAATTGACAAAGTATTATGTATGTGCAGTCTTATCTGGGAACGACAATAAGTCATAAACAATCTTTACACTGTATTTAAAGTTGCATTGGTCACATGTGATAGGTGGCAAATAAGAAGAACAGCAACACCCGAACGCCTTGGAATTGGGCTCAGTTTTACTGTTCTAGTTGTATATCTGAGTGCGTGATCTTACAATGCCTGTTATATCAGTTTATAAGTTAGATAAATCGAACGGATCCTCCAGAATATTTTCTGACGTTACTTTCAATGTGGACCGCGGGCAGAAAATTGCACTCGTGGGACCAAATGGCGGAGGGAAAACCATTCTTTTGCGTTTTCTTGCGGGTGAAGAGGCCCCAGATGGAGGCGAAGTCCGCCTCGGCGACGGTCGCCTCGGCGACGGTGTAAACATTTGATACCTGGCACAAGACACAAGTGTATATTGAAGCGAAACTATTGAAGTAAGTTATTTTTTACTTGTGGACAATTCGAATTTTTTTACTTCTGTGTAGTTGTGTGTGTAGAAGTTGTGCATTCGTGTTATATATAGAGCAAGTGTGACTTCGTATTATACAGCAAGTGTAGTTTTGGATGTGACTGTAGTGTAAGCCTTTTTTAGAATAGCCTATCAATTTGGACATGTGCAACTTCAGATGATATTCGCACATGAATATTTCAACACAGTTTCAAACACTTCAAGTCATCCGATGCGCAAGATATCTGTCTGTTCAGTTTTGTTGTCGGCGGGTGCATTAGTGTTCTTCTTTTTGGCGCATTAGCACTTGTGCTGTTCAGTGCTGTTCAATGCAGATATGTGTTTACCATATTTTAGAAGTTTGTTAAGACTGCGACGACTATGTCTGAATTTTGGTCTTGCGACCACTATGTCTGACGCATAAGTCTGACGCGTCAAAATTGCGACTTAAAATTTCGACCAAAGTCTGGCGCTTACGCGTGCGACCCTTCTTAAGTCTGACGCTTAACCTTGTGATTCTTAAGTGTGACGCCCAACTGACGCTTAACCTTGCGGTTTTAGGGTTTTAGGGATATAAACATGTAAACATATATACATACATACATATATATATATATTCATATATACATATATGCATATATACGTATATACATATATACATATACCTATACATATACATATACCTATACATATACATATACATATCAATATACATATACATATACACATACATATACATATCAATATACATATACTTATACATATACACTACACATACATATACATATATTTACATAATTATATATATATATATATATATGTGTGTGTGTGTGTGTGTGTGTATGTGTGTGTGTGTATGGATGTATGTATATATAGATGTATA